AGCTGCATATACCTGTATCCTAAACAGTGATGATGATCCCAGAAACCACCAGTTCAAACACCAGAGAGTAATCCATAGAAAAATCCAACAGCAGTCATGGCTCTCATGATCCAGTGGCATTTAAAAAGTTGGATGTTGGGTTCGATTCTCAGTGGGAATATCATCAGTCACTGAGACCCAAATACCTCCAGCTGAGAAGTCTCATATACAGCGGAACAAGCAGTCTGGATTTCATAATTAGCCACCATCAATCAAGTAACACAGTGGTTACCTAAAGGTGTCGCTGAAGCATTCGTGTGAGGAACTGAAATTTCAACGGGAGCCAAGTCTTTCGCTTCAGTAGAGTCAATCAGCTGGTAATTCAGATAGCAATCTCAATAAATAATATATTGTTTTGTCTGACACTTGAAAAGAAACTTCAGTGAAATGGAACAAACAAAGTGAGTGACAAGAATACAAAGAAAACAGCTCTTCTATCCTTAGTTCGTGTGAATTCAATGTATCCTTAACTGTATTACTATTTTTAACGCGCTATCTGAACCTTCATTCTGATTTTGTTTTAAAAAACAATGAAATTACAAGCACTTTATCTGTCTTTTTTTGTTTTACTTTCTAACGAAAGACCCAGAAGAAAAAATTGCAAGTATACGATTCACCTTTCAACTATTTTGATGGCTCATCAGATTAACGTCAGAAAAACTAAACTCTTTGAGAATTCTTGAGTGTAATTAAAAATAGATTTTTTTGCCTTCAAAAAACACTCTTTTATTGTTTCGCATAAACTGTGGTGTTAATTCAAGGTCAGACAATGTTTTATTTTGAATGATATATTTTTATTTCAGTAAGTGGAATGTATGTAGACAACTTGAAACTTTTAAAAATCAGCCTTCATCTTTATTCTACAACGGAGAAAAGAATACGCAAAAACAATCTCTTGGTACAATGAGACAGTCACTTTTTCTTCATATACGATAAACATAGGTGAAAGAGTGTTTTATTGCTGTGAAATGATTTGTATTAATTGATTTATTAGATAAAACCACAATGTTTAAAATTTTGCTTGGTGAAATCAGCAAACCAAATAGTGTAAATATTAAAGACAGAGTCGATTTTATCATAGATGTATGTAAGCTAAAAATAATTGCTTAGACATGCAGTGATCACTGAAGCACTTTTTTATTCCATACTAAGACTGCTGTGCAATGTTCACTTTACACTCCTGTCAGAAGTGCACTTATTGAACTATGGAACAAGTTACACCTTTTATCTTATTCAATCCTCCTCGAATACTTCAGTGAGCATGTCTGATTAGAGTTCTGTGTGGAGGCATTATGAATATTTCAGGGTTCATCAACTTCATAAAAATTACAGGTAGATATTATGTGCGTCGGTAGCACAGTGGTTAGGACTCTCGCCGACCATGCACATGGTCCGGGGTTCGATCCCCTGCCGAAGCACACCCGATATCAATGGTCGGCCTGTAAAATTTGGGCTACCGATATCCATGCTGAAAATTCCATACTTGTACTGAAAATACGGTGTGGCATGAAGCTGTAATCAAAAATAAAATAATAATAATAAACCACGAAAACAATGTAAGAGGTTAATGGCTACTGATTAGATCATTTGGACTGATGTCTGATCTCAAAATGAGCACGTTACGATTTGACCACTGTGTGAGAATCTGAAAGCTCCTGAGTGCTACATCTTCCTACTAACTGTCATAATACAGGTAATCGTTAATGTGCAAGAAATCAAGGCTCAACTGTCAGGATTGTAGAGACTAGTATCAGGTTAAAGCGGACTCCATGGTTTTATACAGTAGATCCCCAGAAGCTGAAAATGATAGGTCAACGGATTCTAGTAGGACCTGTGAATAGTAATGTGCTTACCTCGTCATCTAATGATCTTGAGTTTACCTTCTTGAGAGATCGTTGCAGCATGCTGCTCAACTGTCAAAATTATAAGCTGTAGTCAATGCAACCAAAGCCTGCTTAAATCTCTGAGTTATCTAATTTTTCTATCCACCAAAATGCATCACATTTTTACTGGATTTCATATTGTTTTAATCATCCAGTTAAAACCATGAATCGCAACAAAAAATAAAGCATATTTCAAATAGGTTTCAATCTAGTTCTAGGAATTTTTATGAAGGAAATGGTGGGAATCCATTGCGGAGGTTTGAAGCATGCTTTGAATGGAACAACATGTCTTCGAATGATGTGTTATCAATCATCATACTACTTGAAAACCTTGCAAAAAGGGTAAATGCCATCTCAATAAAACATGATGAAGATTTTGTATCATGTTCCCGCACAATTTTCAGAAGAAAGTCATTATTAGTGTCATCACCACTGTAACTAGTATCATATGTAGATTATTTGATGACAAGATAATTACTCCTTGCATAGAAACTCAGGGTAAAAATACTGGGGAACAATATGTCACTTAATATTATTCTTTTTAAGCACACTATAATACTCCATGACGTCTTTTTATCTTCTATAGTTTGGTTTGTAAGGGTTAGTTATTTTTTTTTACGAGTTGATCACGGATTGTTATCAGTTAGAGAACCATTGAAAACCAGGGAGTACTGGACAGCTGCTGTTTCATCCTAGTTTGGGAATCATCGACAGTGCGCACCCACTCGGATTCGAACCCAGGATCTTCCGGTTACAAGGTAAGTTCGTATACCATTCAGCCTCTGGGACCCGATTCAATGGCTCATAAATTCTAACTTCTACCAATTCGTGATTTAGCGCGACCCAATAATCGTATATGAGGTGTTTAAAAATGCACGTGACTACACAAGGACAGAGTGGAATAGTTAGTGTAATGTGTAATGGATGAAACCTAATAAATTATATTTGATGGCGAAGCAGGTAATTCAGAGAACGATACCTATTGTTGAAGACATTTGCCTTTGGCTCACACATATACACAAAGCCAACCGATAAAATATACATATTACTTTATACTACTAATTAGTAGCTGAAAAGTCACCAACAAATTGTGATGCTAGAACAACAGTTTTTTCCACGTTCAAACTCTTTTTAATTTTTATTCACTACCTGTAATATATTAGGATTTGTTAATAAATTATTTCAGACCATCATTCGATGTTAATGGGGGCCACATTAAATATTGTAATGAAACACCAATGACACTGACACATCTCCAAATTGAGAATATGAAGTTTGTTCAAAGTTCAATTGCTTCCAAAGCACCAAAATTTCATACATTTATTCCCCTTAATGAATTTGACTAAAGCAAGAGCAACAGTTTTTGCTGAATAAAGTGGTACCATCATTCATTTCGTTGGCTTCTCATCAGCTGCTTATAGGCCAAAGTCATGAGTTAACATATTAACTTCAACTATATGAACAATTTACACTGGAAGAACAAAAAGAAGGGCATATCTACGATTTTCTGAACAAGTACCAAAACGCCTATGTCTAAAGGGAACAAATGCTTTAAACAGTGCCATCACCAGGCATCTCCTTGACACGGGTTACGAGGTGGACGTCGCAAGATCATTCAAAATTATCAATAGGCGAAACAGTTCAATTCTCCACAAGTTTGCTGAAGTAATCTTCATCAAGAGCCTGAAACTCGATTTATGCGTTCAGAAAGCAGCAGTTATCAGTCTTTCTTTGCCCTGATAACTGGATATTTTCACCTCTCATTCATCTGATTACGTAATGTTGGAAGCTTCTATTGTGTATGATCATTATTTTTCGGAACAGTGTTTAATATTACATATATATATATATATATAATTACTGTATGCATATATTGATTGGTTTTTGTTTAAAAATGAACTCTGTGGAAGTATGTTAGAATTGTTTCTGTAGACATACTTAATAATGACTTTGGCCTGTAAGCAGCTGATGAGAAGCCAACGAAATGAATGATGGTACCACTTTATTCAGCAAAAACTGTTGCTCTTGCTTTAGTCAAATTCATTAAGGGGAATAAATGTATGAAATTTTGGTGCTTTGGAAGCAATTGAACTTTGAACAAACTTCATATTCTCAATTTGGAGATGTGTCAGTGTCATTGGTGTTTCATTACAATATTTAATGTGGCCCCCATTAACATCGAATGATGGTCTGAAACAACTTATTAACAAATTCTATTATATACCAGGTAGTGAATAAAAATTTAAAATAGTTGGAACGTGGCCAAAATGGAGGTTTTATATGTGTACTTAAATTTTGTTAAATATTCACAATTCGTGAATGTGACTGCAGTGGTGTTATTTGTCTCAGCTGAAGCTGGTATTGATTATATTTTCTAAGATGACGGTGAAAACATCAAAATCTAACTTCTATCAGTTATCAAGGTAGCGCCAACTCTAACCAATCCCACTAATGAACAATCATTCCACACTCCACATACTGGTACCCATTTGCCATGATTACTTATTTGGACTTCAGACCAGATGCCCTGTTGTTACCAAGGAGGAGAGAAGCTATATTTTTAATTTCATGTTTGTAATGACTGATTAATTTCAGCACAGGTTTCAGTGATTCAGTCACTTTCTAATAGATGACGAAATCCAGGCTCAAAATGTTCAAAATCCCCACAAACACAAAACGTCTGAACTTATTTTGTCTGTTGACTTTCAAATATTTGAGTAAAGATCATAGAAGTATCATTTTCGAAACAATATTTAATTCAGCTAGCAGCACTCACTGAAATACCTGTCAACTTCTTATGCATTTCAGCATAGCTAGCCAGAATTCCAAGGTTATAGATATGCGATATTCTAATGTATTCCTTATTCAGGAATACCTCTAAGACGAAGTTACTAACTATTGGATTTTAAGGCCTCATTACTAACATTTAATACTTTCAAGATGAGGTTAATTAGATCAGTGCAGAGGAAAAACTCATAAGGGATGGTTAAGAATGCTTATATTTCAAATATCCGAACCAAATGATTCTGTTGCAAAAAACGTACACATAAGCATCTTACTTTTCTTGTTTTTCAACAGAATAACTTATCTCTAAATACTGAATGGCATATATATGCTTCGTTCTATGACGGAAACCGTTTACCTAATATGGATTTATACAATGTTGTTGCAATATGAAGTCAACTCCTATCAGTCACAAGATATCGACGATGACTATGTGGAATTAACACAATTAATAAATAATGAGAATCAAATTCGTCTACGATGTGATGCAAAAAGTCAAGATTCAATTGAAAGTTTAATTCTGCTTAGCTGCCCGTTGAGTAAAACTGGAGTATGCAGAGAAAACTGTATAAATCCATGTCCAGTGAATGAATGTGAGTTTCGTTTTTAAGTATTTTAAATAAATATCTCTACAGCTATTAGTAATTTTAAATTAAATTTAGCAAAACTGACAAAGGGCTACCTAATTCACACTGCTTAAGAATTTATGCGGTTTCATAACTAACAGTAAAAAGAAGTTTGGTTAGCTGATGGTTAGGTGTTAGATAGTGTAAAGTGATCAGAAAAACACCATTACTTTAGCTTTAGCTGCAACAAGAACTCCTTAGCCCTGCATTCCCAAAACCTTCATAGAGCATCTAACTTCATTGAAAACTGCGATTCGATTTTGTAATTAAATTTGTAATCATTAAGCTATAAAAAACTTCCCAGAAAGGAAGAAAACAGGCAACCAATACCTTCTCTAACTGATGCTGGCTAGATATGAATATATCGTGTCCTTTAAACTTTATGTTAGCAAAAATACTGACTCAAAAATACTACAAGCTATAGTGCAATTCAAAAGGAATAAAAAATGCAGAACTTAGAAATCATCTCAAGTTCAGTGGGGTAGGCTTGATTGCAACATTCAGTTAATCAGATTCACGTATTTGCATGAACTTCAGTTCTCTTGAGCCTTACTGATAAGTTTCTGCAGGCTTAGGATTTCTTCCATATAGCGGACGACAAATTAGGAAACTATGATTGCTCTCTCACAACGCGACAGTGAATAAGGGTGAGTTGGGTACTTTGCCCATACTGCTACTAAGAAGAAAAAATTTTGTTTCCTCCAAAAAGGAAAAGATTGATTGAAAATATCTACATAATTCTACTTTTGTTACTTACATCTTTTTGTGTAGTGGGTTAAAATGACACCCTTATATGATATATTATATGCTAATTTATGTGTCTATTGAGGTGTTTACAGTAGATCTTGCCACAAATCGACATAAAAACCATGAAAAACCAGGGAGCACTGTACAGTTGTTTTGTCCTAGGTCTGGACTTCTCAGAAGTCTATCTTGAAGCCAATCTAGTCGTTACAACCAAAAGTTACAAAATCTATCTGTATATCTAAATAACTTCTTGGTTAAAGGAATATGCTGAAGCTGTACTTCGGCAGTGTACTCCTATGAACGTTTTAATATCTTAATAGCATGTCACTCATTAAGACTCGGTTGTACAAATATTGAGGAAGTCGCCATTGACAAGTTAGTATATCAAGGATATCCACTTGCACTCCAGAGTAATTAAATAATTTCTACAAATAATTTAAGCAGCAGGCATCGATATTATACTGGTTCTAGAAGTTTATTGTGCTTATATGAAATCGAAGATCTATTTAGCTTGTACTTTTATTGCACTGCATTTTCTAAGAATAATTAGATAGTATTCAAATTAAATAAAATCTCAGATTGTGTTTGTTGACTTCCAGAGTTGTTCCTCATCCTTGTGTTGGTATTCTTTTATTCTTCTCACATTATAAAAAAAAGCATCTGCAATCTGCAATGAAGCAGTGACACTTGCCATTCCTAAATGCATTTATCGATCTATGTCAAACAATCATATTCAAATAGAATATGTGATACAGTTGGATGCTATCAATGAGAAAGGAATGTGGTGGTGTACATTTCGTGGGAAACGTTCTAATTCTGTTGAATTGGACTCACACACTCCTGAAGAAAGAAAACCGGTGGCTACAAGCAGTGGAAATATCTATTCGAATAATCTGGAAATAAATAACAAATATGAAAATACAATGGATGGCATCACTTACTTTGGTAAGTATTCATTCACCTGTTTATCTGTTAACTAGACCATTTCGTATTATCTTTAATCGTGCATTCCTTAACGTGCTGTACTGTATACGCATTGTACTGGAAGGAAACAATATCTAACAGTTTAAATTAGACCGATTTAGTCATAAAAGTAGGTGACAAATAGTTTTACTGTCTAGAATAACTCGGGTGTTACTACAATGACCGCATAACTTAAGTGCTTACAGTTTGAAATCAACACCTTTTCATGTCATCCTAATAAGAATTCTGTATATATTTATAACTTATTTCACTAGTAGTCTGTTAAAACTGTGTTCTCCAGTGATCAATATTTCTCATTCTCAGAACACTTTGATATAGTATGGAATGAATACCAGATGAGTGTGCCTGTAATAAAATATCATGAATATCAGCAGCATTTGACATATTTCATCCATTCCAGCTGTTGCGAATAATTCCTGCCCTCCACATCCAGTTTTTGTCGATTCTCTGTTGGCTTTCCATACTTGTTTTTTATCCAAAATATTGGCAGGTTGAATATTACTCCTTGTTACTTCCAAGCAGAACTAATAATATACCAAAGATATTCTTATGGTTAGCTTCCATCTCAACAGTACACTTGGTTGTGTGGAACTTTTACTATTTGTTCCACCAGAAACTGCTTATATACCATCAACAAGTAAATAAAAGTTTGCTAAATACGTCTAGAACCATAGGTCAATTAGGTAGGTGGCTTTATTCTACTAAAAGTAAGCAATCGTAGTTCCAAAATGTCAAGCTGGCCTTGTCTGAATGGCTGAATGGGACTCATCAAACTGAATGAACTTATATATTGCAGTAAAAATTTTAAGAGCAACCATAAAGAAACTAGATGTACAACAGGAGTCACAACAATGACTACGTGTGAAAATATGGCCATCTACTTTATTGTTTATGTTCGGCAGTAATGTTAAACACAGAAAATTCCAACGGATGTCACTTCGCAGATGAATTCTGAAAATAAATCCTGTTATTTAAGACAGCTAGTATTCTCTAACACGTCTCTACCACTAGCAATTCTGAAGCTAAAAAATTCAGGCCCTGGAAGAAGCAAGAGATGTGTAAATTCAAGTAAACTAGTTTGAAGGATTGTCAGTTTTAGGACTTCATCAACCAGAAGGTTATTGGAGGCCAAACATAGCTGAAAAGATATTTTGTTCCTATCTAGGGTTTCAGTAATTTACACCAGGATGTAGCTCAGGATTACCACTATTGTACAGCTATTCTAATGCCTGTTAACTCCCAGTTCAACTGTACTAAGATGAACAGCTTTCAATCAGGAGTCAGCAAATGGTCTTCGTCTAATGGTCTTAAACTAAGTCCTTCCAAATGTCAGAATGTTAATTTCAGTTTCAGATGTAAAATAAAGTTAAATGAAGCTGTTAATTCCTGTGACCATTGCAAAATTGATGATAGTAATATAGAAATCAAGTCTGATATTAAGTATCTTGGATTAACTCCTTCTTCTGACCTATCCTGGTCTTCTCTTGTCTTAGCGATTTGTCAAAGAATATTTCGTCTGACGTTTTACATTAAGAAGTTAAGGCACTCAGGCATAACTCGGCACCTCCTCTTACACTTTGTCAACTCGTGCATCCTGCCTATACTTCTTTATTGTTCACCCTTATTCTTTACTGAATTGCTTAAAAGAGACTATGTCGTATTTCGTAGGACTCTGAAGACTGTCAGTAGAGCATGTGGTATTCCACTAGGCCATATCTTTGACATCGTCAGTGATAGTCACTTGATTTCATGCAGCAAGTTTGCCAAGGAATTTTGTCAGACTGTGAGCATCCACTTTACCCGAGGCTCCAACCTTGTGTCTCATCAGGTAAAACAAGAAGTGATATCACAAGACTTTATGCACGTACATCTAAGTATAAAAATCCCACTATACCATATTTGGCACGTACTTTATGTGATGAAAATAGTGTCAGACATGAACTAACTAACCTTCTTTGCACTACCAAATAAACCATTTCCTTCACTTTTAAAGCACCAAACTTTATTGTTATTGTATTTCTTATATTTATAATCCTTTCAATTTTTTCGTTTTGTTTATTTTTTCCATAAGTGTGGTCATAATTTTAAGCTGTATTATAACTGTTTATTTTGTATTTCCCCTCAGTATACTATATCAACAGAACATTAGACCCAATAATCTATAACATGCTAGTTTCCAAACTGAATCGACAATACTCACTGTTATTATTATTATATCTAATAATTATGTCGTAAATGTGGACAAATTCCTCCGATTAATTTTGTTTTAATTTTTAATTTTATATATATTTTGAGTAAATCAGATGCAATATTGTGACAAACGCTGAGAATTCTATTCTGTATTATAAGTACTGTTTTTGGAATAAAGTAGACTATTAATATTATTCAAAAAGTAGTTTTTCCTACTTTGTTAGTAAATCAGAATTCAGTGGTGTATAAAGTTTTTAGTATCTTTCACTTTAATAACACTGCATGTATTTTGGATTGCTTCAAATCGGTAAGTTCTAACTTGAATGCATCTGCTGCCCCCCTCTCCACAAATACAACAAAACATATCATTAAAAGTTATCAAAAGACGCTAAAACCCCTGAAGAATGGTAAATTAGGGTGAAATATCAACCCAGTAGCTTTCAGTTTTCACTAATTCTTTAAGTTGTTTCGATGTGATCGATTTAGCAGTGAGTGTAAAACTTTACACACAAAATACACCATTCCAAGTTGCCATACTTATTAAAAGCACACAAAATAAATGTAACGAAACTGCAGTGGAAGAAAATGTAAGGAAGAGAGAGAGGGAGTGAAAGAGGTTATCTGATCTAGGTTGAAAGACTTTTAGAATCTAGTACACAAAATGAATGCATACTTTGGGTACTGAGAACAATTTACAGTCTTTTCAGAAGTAGTCCTGAACCATTCACTATAAACATCCTGGTGACTTCAGCCACACACTTTGTACATCCCTTTGGGTGGTCAAAGTAACGGTCAGTCATTTCATGGATCGGTAGTCTTGTCTAAGGACTCCTGATTCCTTTCCAGTCCAGTCCTCCTTTAGTCAACATTATTCGTCTAGGAAGGCGATGGTGCGGCCTGAGTATGACATATCCAAATCGTGTGAATAATTACATTTCTGAAAAACCATTGATTGACATTTAAATCTTATCTGATGCTCTGTGCTTATACATACGTACCTATCCATCTAATGTGTGTAATTGAACCTCTAATCTTTAAACGATTATTTTGCATAGTACAAAAGTAGGATAAAGAAAATGGTTGCGTATCACAGTACCTTGAAAGAAGTAAAAGCTTCGTAGATCTATCATCTAAATAATCCATTCGGTTTTTTGTCTTTTTTCATCACGGCAGATATCTCACCCAACTTAATACAACTAATCATTGGACTCGTTGGTGTTTCGGTTGCATTCAATATTTTCTTTTTCATTCGATGTTATGCTGTGAACAACTATTTGAGTAAGTTGATGACAAATGTTTCGCTTTGTGTTAATATTTTGAGTTAAAAATACCCATTGATTGTAATTAGATGAATCAAGGATTTTTAAGAAATTTGAAAATTGGTCAGCGGATCGTACGAGACTATTAATGATATATTGGGTGATGACTGAAGGTGAAATGAAAATCTAAGTAGTGGCAAGATTCGAACCGGCGGTGATTGCTGTGTAATGATGATTTCGCTGGGAGTTGAAACTCTTAGCTTAACAGGTAGGGGGCCAGACTAGTAATTAGGAGGCCACTGGTTCGAAGGCTGCTGCAATCTAGATTTTAATTTCCCAGTGTATCACCACCCGGTACACCGACTTAATGTTGCTGAGGTGCATCGCTGATTCATCAACAGAATGCTTGCACACCACGCGCGTAACCGGGGTTCTCCGCCCCCCACCCGCTGACGCTTTCCTCTGACTCATTTAGCTGGTATTAAGCACAGTAAAGAGGAAGTGTTGGGCGTAAGGCTGACGACCCCACCCTGTAAAAAACGAATGAAACCATTGCTACTGAAACCTTAAGGATTAAAGTTTGAAGCCGTATATTCCGCTTGGAACTCAGAGGAATAAAAAGTGTTACTGAGACATTCAGTTAGTTTACATCATGGAATGCTGATTTTAATTCAGAAGCTATAAAACCCATATAACATTCACAATTTGCAAATCAGTTCGCAATTAACTCAGTCTTAGGAGGTGAAACATCACTACAGTTTCCTTCGAAAACCAAATTATTCAGATCACAGTATGTGATCTGCTTGATACCATCAATGGTAATTAAGAAAACAAGGAAATTTGCATCAATCTACATGCAACTGATTGGCGTGGTTGAGCAGTTGTACACCACTCACAGCAGCCAGTAGTGTTTACTAGCCAGATTTGGGTGATCTAACCAACGGACGACTGTTTCACTCGTTTGGGGTCGGTCTAATCACATGGTGTACCGGGTTTGACTCAGATCAGAGAGCCAAATATGTTCAGACTACTTGACCTGGTTGGTATTAGTCTGTTGTATATGGTTTTAGGCAAGCTATAAAATCTATTTGATCATGACATTTGATCATGATTTATTCCCAAACCTCAGGTCAAAAGCATATGGAGAAATGAGGTGATCTTCAGCGTTCTAAGGTCAACTCTTATTGTTTCGAGTTCACACTCGCGGTAATGCTTAGGATATGATGAAACAGTCTAATTTTTAGAAATTCTTCAAATGGTGTCATGCATTAATCGTGAAGCCAGACGAAGGTGACTTTAGAAAACAGAGCATCCTATTCAGGACTGTTCGGCACGGTGTGCCTGCCTCCTGAGTGAGAGGTGGTGTTCCCACTGAAACTATCACCCTGCAGTTATCTTTTAAAATGCCTGATAGGGAGAAATGTATATCCTGGATTCACTGCCAGTCATCATCAACTGAAATGACGTCATTGTCAATCTTCAGATATCTTCGAAGTGTCTGTACTAGAAGCTGAGATGTCAACGGAGACCGAACTTGTCGGTCCAGTATAATCAGTCAATCAATGGCAAATGCAAATTCACCTGAAAGCAAGTAATGATTGGCTTCATAATAAACTGTGGAAGTAATATTGAAAAATGCGGTCTTAATACAGGGTGATAATGATATTAAAGACAAACGTTAGATCACAAATAAAGATGATGTTCAGAGTTATCCGGTATCACAGGGAAAGAAAACAAGTCTAGGTTGTACATGAAAGCTGTGGGATGGGGAGTGACTGGATGAACTTTTCTTCGACACATCGACAGAATGACAATGTTTTATCCCAACTGCCTTGGTTATGCTTAGCGACCGAAGTAGTACACACCTAGGGAACTGAGCTGGCACCTTTTCCTAACCATGTTGGAAAATGCTCTAGAAGACAATGGTGGACACGCAACTTAGAAAGAGAGATAGAAATAGTAAGACTAGTGGGCAATTAGAATACTACGTGACAGCATGAGAATTTTGATGCCACTGATGGTTGAGATATTACTGAAAACTATTCACAGCGAAAATAATCATACCAGTTGAAATAATAACGGATAGATAAACAGATTGATTAAACAGAATGAAAAATGAATAAGGCCAAGACACAAATGTGGACTATAATAATTTAACGTCGACGGATTAGTACCATGACAAGATGAGTGCCTTGACAAACGTTCTCTACACACAGAGCTCAGGCTCTTCTCTTTCGATGGCTGAAGCTTTAGTAACACAGATGGGTCGCATAAGTAACGTGCTCGGAAGATTATTTTTCGTCTAACAGACAAAAGAAGAGATCGTAGAGATAAGATGACCAATGTCCACCAGCTATTGAATTATTCTGCTATTTATAGCTCCAATTCCACTTCTTTGTAACCTCGCTGAGTAGTGTTTTATTTGCCTAGTAATCTTATTAATTTTACACCTCCAAGATGTACACATTGCATGAAACATTTCAGAATTTCCGCAATGCAATAGGTGCCTCAGAGATGGGCTAAATTTATTGACAATGTTTGCTTTCCCATGTAAACTTGGAACAATTAACAGAAGTTTTTGTACAAGGTTGTAGTTAGTTCATAAATGTCAGTAGGACTAGCTGTCTGTGTACTGTACACATATTATATAAACTTCAGTATATTGAACACAAGCCTACACCTACACAACAATAAATCTACTAACAGACAAAGACGCGGAATAGCCGAAATTAACCCAGTATGAATCATTTAAACACATTTCAAGTAAAGCGTTAAGGCGTGAGAGAATCGATGTAGGCCAAACTAAAAGGCTGTATTGAAAGTCAAAATGAAGATCAATCAACAAAAGCGAAACATGTTGCATATTAAAACATTAATTTTGATTTTCGAAACAGAATTCACCAAGATGGGTACCATGTGAATTGACAAAGGTGGATTAAACATCCTAATTTCTAAGGTTTCCCAAAACATTAAGGTGCGACCACAACAGGTCATAGAGATGGGTTTAAAAGATACCTACTCTATGATTTGTTAAAATAATGCGTTTGGTGATGAGGAGCTGGGTTGCATATTTCTACCATGAAGTGATTGCACGGACCAACATACACTAGTATTGTAACGGTAAAAGACAAGAGACTTGGTAACGGGATGTTTATTTGAAATATAATATCTTAATATTGGGAAACTATGTACAACTTACCCGAAAATCGTAGTTTGCGGAGATCTTCCATGCTGTGCTACTTCTGCCCTTCGTACTGTTTTTTGTCTTTTTTCATGTCTCTCATGTTTCGCCGCAACTCTGGTTCATTTCCTCTCGTCGACGTCAAATCTACCTCTCCGCTATTTGTTATTTTTGTGCTGATGAAGGTCTTTTTATATACTAGTGATGAATCTTGTTAGTTAGTACACGCCACATGATCATTTACTTTTATAACTAGTGTTTGATTTCATTCTACCTTTTCTCAGCTTATCATATTCACATAATTTTCCCTATTCATTTATTATCCATTTCAATAACATTATTTTTGAGGAACACTTTTTACCTTATGAGTTGTGCTCAACTAACGGTTCATCATATCAACCCAATTCGTTTTAGTACTTAGTTTTGTGATTTTACCCTTTCACTCTTCATCTGTTATTATTGAGAATTCGTTTTTTTTTCTAAATAGTCTTCACAATTCAATCAATTTGTGCTAGTGTCAGTCGATGTGTATTTTTAAATATCCAAATCATAGATTGTCCTGGAATGTCGCCGGACAGTTTGAGTACCCAGTCTAATGAAAGTATTTATAAAATGTCTAAAATAACTCAACATATTTATAAAACCTAAAATAGAGTTTTCCCGGGTGTTTCTTTGAGTAATACACACCTCCTTCAGCAGAATTATTCAGATTTCGTTAAAAATCGAAATATGTGGTAGTAGGGCAGAAAATGATAAAAAGCTTAGTGAACTCAGGACATTTTGAAACAGTTAGTCCCTTTGATAACTTTAAATAAGGCATTAAGAAGATATATGCTGAGCGATGATATCATATCATAGTTTCTTAACAACCTCTGTACAATAACGAAAATTTTTAACAAGTATTCAGTAATGTAAAATGAAAGTACATACTGACAACCAGTCATATTTTAGTTGGTCAAGTAGTCCATGTTAGGGGAAGGTTGAAATTTGGTGTTTTTTGTACACAGTTTGGGATGCGTGTAACTAATCCAGAGTGCTTCCATCGCCTTTAATAACCTTGAAATAATTGAGAAGCAGTCATTAATATTGATTTTGTCACCTGACATTAATGAATGCTTGATAAATAAATGATGATGGATTTCTGTTTGTATTAAATAGATGCGAGCTTTTATTATGACGTAATGACCATTTTGGAACGTGTTCTTTTCGACTAAATTGGAACATTCTGTTTGCTCTGTCTCTACACATATGTCATCGCAATTGCAGGTAAACTTGTAGATACAGTATGAAATAGAATCCACAGAATTTTGTCCTTTAGTTATAGGTCCGGGAATCGAAAATGTTCGAGATATTGGTAAAAGAGATGCGGCGTAGAATGTACTTTTGATACCTGACGGAAGCCTCTAAGCTATCAGTTACATGATTTGATTACGTTTGAGTGGTAGTTTAATAAAGATAGCTTTCTTCGGTACGAAAGATGTCTATCCACAGAAACAGTCTCTCTTTACTGTGATATACAATGAAGTTTTCAGGATAACTAGTAGTCAGTAAAACCGAATGTATATGCCATAGCTCATCCATTAGTGTCTCGCTCATGCAAATTTTATGGGCCCTTGAAAACAGGCATTTCACTGGGGAATGTTTACACATTTTGCAGCTGAATAATTGTATATATTGACTAAACGTGATTGGTCATGGTATATTCCTATTGTTTTTTGTCAACCTGCCACATTCAGACAGTCAGACAAGGCCATGTTCCCATTAGATGTGACTTCTCCCTATATTTCCGTCTTATATAGCATACTTTGATATATATATGTACATTTATCTGATGTTTTCCGAAGTAGTTGATAGTTTTTTTTATTCAAAGATGGACGCTTTATGCCTACTTAATATCTACTCACTTAAACATTCACCAGTCTGCTGCTTCCTTCTAAACAGCAAGCTTCACATTTTGTATCGTGTAAACACAATTGTTACGTGGCATCAAATAGAAAATAATTTTTAAATCAAGGTGCACTGGACAGCTATTTTGTCCCAGTTTGGGACTCTTCATCAGTAAGCGTTCTTGGCATTTTTCTGTTACTGATTCGTGACGAAATCTACAGTGAAGTAATTTTGTCAACTTGGTGCAAGTATGCTTACCCAATTAGATGCGGAAAATTTATCAAACCAAATATAAATTCACATTGTTTAGCTGTAGTATTTAGTTCAACATCAGTATTCAAAATTTATTATTAACATATAAATCTTGTTTAATTTCTTCCTTTAAAGAGAATCTCTATATTGGTCATCCAAGAAATAATTGTCTAGATCAGTTTTTGTGTATTGACCAACCGAGGAAACCAAAGCCAACAAAACAGAAAACAAGACTCAATTATCTTCAAACTATGAGTCCACCGGAAACACCTAAACTCCCAGCGGTTAAACAATCGCCCATAACTGCAAAAACTAATAACGGTAATACACAACAGTATGCATCACACGATGTCCTGCCTATGATGAACATGCTACACAATAAACCTTCACCTTTAGTTTATCATACATCAAAATCTATCCCACCATCACCTGTTATATATCCTTCATCACAAACACAGTATGCAAAAGATCCGTACACACAACATCAATATTATCCTAAGAATCCATTTCATACACCAACTGTTAACCATAAAGCACCATCATTGGAATTTATCTATGATGAAGTTCATAATTCGGTGTATACAACTTTGAATAGTCAAACAAATGACCAAGAGAAAATTAAGCAAAATACGGTAAAACAAAAAAAGAAATCTTTTCGTTCTGACGATTTTTTATCATTTAGATCTATGAGTAATGAATATTAGGATAATAAAGTTCATCTCGCAGTTAGTTATCAATAAGCAATGGCCAGCTGAATAGTTACTTGCTCATCTCTAAATGTAAATGTTCTGGATTCGATTTCTGGTGCACTAATAGATATACTGTCGAAGAGTCTCAAAGGGGAGTAAAAGAGCTACATAGTACTCTTTTGTTTCAACGGTTTCCTAAGTGTTGCTTGTTTATGACAAAATCTATGTTGAAATTAATCAGAGACTTATGACTCAAAATTCAGCCACTGCTCACTAGTGACTCAATGAGAGATGGACTTTCTGAATTTCTAATTTGAAGCATAACCAATGAGATCCACCAATTCAGGTATGAGGACACTCGATGACGACGATACTATGTCATGAATCCATAGAAGTTAGATTTCATAGGCTATTGGTTTTGAAACCAGTTGTTGGATGATTAACGTGTTGTTTACGCAGCAGAAAAGTTCTATGTTTTTTTCTCCGGTCGGATCATGGGTCAGTACTTCTGAAGATAACCAAAGTAGATGTGATAAAGCCTACAGTGAAATCAGTCAAATCCCTAGAATCCAACACTTGCGACAAATTTCATTGTTAAAATGAAAAAAGTTATAAAATGAACAATTAAGTACTAGATTCAACTAAAGTAAATTCCACGTGGTACTTACAGTAACTAATTCGTCAACGTTATATAATGACTTGGAGGCAGTTAGGAATCAGAAGTCGATTGGCTGCATCACAAGATACTTCTAAAAATGCCAGTTCCAGGTTCGATTCATCAAAGATCTTCAGTACCCTACTGATATTGTTCATAACTGTAATGAAACGGTTACCTACCACAGCTGGTGTTTAAAGATTCTCAGTTCACAGGGAAATCGACCTTTAAAACTTAAATAAACTGTTTGTTCTTATTTAAATAAACTGTCGCTGTCTTAGTTCATAATGTCCGCTAGTGATACTAGGGAAAACAGGAGGCTGAAAATCTTAAGGAGTTATGCTTTTTAATAAAATCCATAAACTCATTTCGAACACTCAGGTCAAACACATACTTGTTATATGAATTTACATGAAGGGTGAAAGAGTTAAATAATTTAGTTAGAAGGCGTAATCGAAGATTGAGATAACTACGAAAGTTCATGAAGTACAAGACGTATTTTAGTAGTACATTGATTTTGGTTTCAAAGCCAGTGTTATGAGGAGAGGCTTCATATATATTGACCATTTTTGTATAAGAATAAAGCAATTCCAAAATCAGGTACTCATTAAGTTTCAAACTGAATCAGACTTGTGACTTACACTGTGTCTAGGTTTAAACTGGTCTTTAAAGAAATGGGCTTACTGGAAACTCTGATTCAACTCTATGTGTTATTTAAGCTCTAATGTTAGAGTAACGTTTCTTTATTCCATGTCTATTGGACATTCGATTTCAGTTAAGTAAGTATTGTAAAATGAACATATTTCACACTTTTTAATATTTCACAGAAACAGAATGACAACTCAGTTGGGACAGTTTTTAATGGGAGTCATTGGCTTGTGGATCCCTCCGGTCAAATCTACGTTCCATATGCACAAATTACACCGAAACCTCGAAGAGTCTTATTAAGCAATGTTGAATATTCCACACTGAGGAAAAGTGATGTGATAACAAACCCTTTACTATTGAATCCTACATTTGAAACATTGAAAGAAAGAAATCATACCTTTGGCCATCAAACTATTTCAGATACTCGTCACTTGCCTTTAATTCCGATACAAACGCAAAATGTTAATTATCATATTAATGGCAACATGTCACCTTTTCCTAATTTCCCTTCTGTTCAAAGTAATGCGGTTTCTATTGGTCAACATAATCGTATTCAAAAGACACCAGTGGAAATTTCTGAATTGCGTGATGACAATAACAATACTGAAGAAAATGTATGTTATTCACATGAGAGATTTATAAGAGATGGACTAATTTTACAGTAATTTTGGTCACTTACCAACAACATTTAGGAAATCACTGGAAACCAAGAGGTCACAACTGGTGATACCTACCATAAAAGTACACGTTGATGACACATTAGTTTCACCAACGCAACCGTTGTATACTTCTTGGTTTTAAGGACCTACTGGCTTATTTCCATTCATCACGAAATTTTTAGTGAAAAATGTACACTTAATGGCGATATTTACCTAAAATGCATCGATTGAGAATTCATTGATGGAAAATGTGACCCTTATCCTTAAACTATTTATTTCTGCCTGGTTCTGCAGGTAAAACTTTCCTTCAGGATATCAAAATATCTTCTTGGATGAAGAAGAAATATTATGAGACAATAAAATGGTCATCAGTTTTAGTGATATGTCTAATTTTTTTATGTGAGATTACTACTAAGTAATGAAGTCCAGTTGATAGCTTTTATGCCATTTTACATTTGTTGCTCAACCTCCAGTTTTATTCAAATTAGACGCTGATCAATAGAGTCATCTACCGTTTTCCTAAGTCTTTTGGGGTGAACAAGCAAACATGCTGGTCATGGCAGCAAACTACAGTGCGCACGAATTCATAAATATACACTTACTAGGACTTTTTAAACTACAAAGAAATAGCTACCCAGTAAACTTAGTAATGAAAACTACTTAGGAACCAATCCAATTTGAACAAAGATTTATCTTAATATCAGTAAAACTAATGAGGAATTTCATTCGGTTTCATTAAGTTTTGTTATAAAAATACTCTACAGTACAGTAACAGGTTGTAGACTTTTGTCAACGGCTACCTTCGCTCCATATTGAAGACCAAGTGGCTAGAAAGAGTTGTCAACAAGAAACTTTGAAGACAAACCAACCAAGCACCTATTGCTCAACAAGTATGTGGGAGAAAATGGAAATGGATTGGGCACACACCGAGGAGACCGTTGAATGACGTCGAGCGCCAAGCCGTAGCCAGAGTGGGAAACGGCGGGTGAGGTGTCTGAGGGTAACATGGGGGAGACCGTGTGAGGAGGAAATAATGGACTATGAGGAGTCCTGGAGCAAGCTAAAGAGGATCACAGGGAATCAGATAAAGTGGAGACGTGCTGCCAAAGCCATATGTTCCGCTACGAACGCAAGGGGACAATAGTACTAGTACAGTTATAATGTTGAAGTGGGCGATACTCTCAACTAATAAATGAGGAGAAGTAATATACCCGTCTAATAATTTTAGAAGTTCTCTAGTTAATAAGTTCCAGGCAATGCTTGGCTTACTGATCTGCATATTAATGAGACATCTTACCAGAATATACCGTCCCACATGCTTTGGTGACTGATATGACTGTGGAGCTTTCAAACTTCGCTAAGCTATTGCCACCGAAATCCTTATGGTTTTCTAACACAATACCTCTCGTTTATTTGTGTAATGATGAGTAGTTTCCCAGTGTCTAAAGTGTGAAAGACAGCTTAAAATAGTTAATTATCTCGATAAAGTAAGAAGGATAAATTTTGCCGCTTAAAATGGTATATAATTCACCCATAGAAATCCATTACTTCCATTATAGATAAAACTTTATTTTGATAAAATCACACAATGTTATACAGTAATATTTACTGATGTTGTTTCTAGCACAATTTATCCATAATGGAATTATACTCTACAACAGTGGCCAAGTTTTATCCTTATATTAATTAATCCAGTACTTGTAATTTATATAACTTCTCATTATTTTCCAGACTAATGAACAGTCAACTACTAGTCAGTCAGTGATGAAGAGTGTACAGTTGTCCAACAGACAAAGTATTTTTGACAATTTTGAACCACAAGATGATCATCAGCTCGGGAATAAACTAACCAATCATAATTATCAAAGTGGCATACAAAATTCCGACCAAGAAATAAATAATACTTTAGATTCAACTATGCCAAAATATTCAATTAAACTACTTGCGCGTAAAACAAGTCAACCGAAAATAGACAATACATTGAATAACCACAACGGGGGTACAGCTGAGAATTGTACCTTGTCTGGAACTCATAAGATAGCTGATCTAGAAGACTGGGCTATGATTGATCAAGATTAGTCTAAAAAAATCAAGTTTATTGAAGAGTGTAACTTGTGCTGCTGTTCTGTTTTTCTCTTCTTTCCTTACTTAGAAATTACTCAAAACTGTGTCTTACAGCTTACAACAAAATTGTATTACTGAATTATTAAATCATGTTTATCAAATAGTGCTCATTACTGTCTTTTCACAAGCCTTATTCAAACAGTATTCTAGTCGTTTGCATTTGTCCCAAGTTAGATTATGAATTATTTATGAGCTAACATCATTCAGAGGACCACTGAAAACCAGAGAGCACTGGACACATGTATCGACTGATTTTGGAACTCTTCAGCAATACGCACGCATGACGTATTCGGGGATTAAATCCATGATCTTTGGGTTTTGAGGCGAGACCACTAATCACTTAGAACTCAATGTCTCGTAAATTCTGACTTCTGCTAACTCTCAGCAGTTGCATTACTGGAGAAAAAGAACATCTGAGGTTAAACTGTCGTTGATAGGTTTATATTTGATCAAAGGATTGAATTCAGTTTATTAAAGCAATTAATTGTTGGTTGACTCATTGGTCAAGACTGAAAATTCTACCGTACACTTCTAATTCATCAATGAGCTTATATTTTCACGTATTGGTTTTGTAGGGGTTTTGTTTGATTGGATGGCAGAAGTTAGAATTCATGGGCCATTGGATCGGGTCACAGTGGCTTAATGGCCTACGAGCTCACATTGTAGCCAGAAGGTCCTGGGTTCGAACCCTGGCTGTGGGTGCGCACTGACGAAGAGTCCCAAACTAGGACGAAACAGCTGTCAAGTACCGCCAGGTTTTCTAGTGGTTCTGTAACTGATGTCAGCTCATGATGAAATCCTCCATTCAATAAGCTTATATCTCAGTGAATAAGAAGGGAATATGATTCGTGATTAGAGTACTTTACACAAAATAAAGAAATCTCTGAAATAGCTGAAAAACAGCGGATATGCATACTAATGGTAACAAAGTATGACTTATAGAAGTATATACTGTTTTAATGTAAACAGTGAAAATAACAACTCGAGTTAAGTGTTAATAATAATAATCTACTTTATTCTAAAAACAGAACTTATAGTACAGAATGGAATTCTCAGCATTTGTCACAATATTGCATCTGATTTACTCAAAATATGAGTAGAATTAAAACAAATTAACCAGAGGAATTCGTCCACATTTAAAGTCAAAAATATTCGAAGTACAAGATGAGAATAATGAATATAATAATAACAATAAGAGCTTGTTTCAAACATTACTGTCCATTCAGTTTGGAAAATTAAGAATGTTATAGATTATTGAATCTAATGTTCTGTTGATATAGTAGCATGGTGAGGGGAAAGACAAAAAATAACAGTTATTGCACAACTTAAAAGATGCTTACACTTATGAGAAAATAAACAAGAATTAAAAAAATTGAGAGGATTATGAGTATAAGAAAAACCATAACAGTAAAGCTAGTTGGAGTAAGGATGGACAAAATAGTTTATTTACTAGTGCAAAGAAGGTTAGTTAGTTCATCCCTGACACTATTTTCATCACATAAAATAAGTGCCAAATATGACACAGTGGAATTTTTATACTTAGATGTACGTGCATAAGGTCTTTTGATATGACTTCTTGTTTTACTTGAGGAGACACAAGGTGAAAGCTGCGGGTAAAGTGGATGCTCACAGTTTGACGAAATTCCTTTAGCAAATTTGTTGCATGACATCAAGTGCCTATCAGTGACAGTGTCAAAGATATGGCCCAATAGAATACCACTTACCCTACTGACAGTCTTCACAGTTCCACGAAGTATGATAAAGACTTTTTTAAGCAACCCAGGAGAGAATAACGGTGAACAGTAAAGAAGAATAGGCAAGATGCACGAGTTGAAAAACTGTAAGGGGAGGTGCTGAGTTATGCCTGAGTGCCTTAACTTCTTAATGTAAAACGTCAGACGAAATATTCTTTGAGAAATCGCTAAGACAAGCGAAGGCCAGGATAGGTCAGAAGAAATAATTAATCCAAGATAATTAATATCAGACTTGAATTCTATATTATTATCATCAATTTTGTAATGGTCACAGGAATTAACAGCTTCATTTAACTTTCGTTTACATCGGAGACTGAAATTAACATTCTGACATTTGGAAGGATTTAGTTTAAGACCATTAGACGAAGACCATTTGCTGGCTACTGATTGAAAGCTGTTCATCTTAATACAGTCAAACTGAGAGTTAACAGACATTGAAATGGTTAGATCGTCTGGATACTTTACAAAGTTCATTTCATCAGAGTGAGACAAGTTAAGTGGCTGACTGAAGTGAATCGTTTAGGTAGTGCGGAAATCTAACGACTTTTCACAAACTTTGAATACATGAAACGATGATCTATTTACCATCTGTTATGTAGTCACACAAAGGTCAACAATGAACTGAGTGGTTTTCACCGTGACGTGTGAGTCTCTATTTACACATCATAAACATGATTTTACTGAGTAATCTTTTTTATAGCTACACTATTTTAAGTGTAAATCGCATAGGGATTTCACTGATTTAAAGGTAGATTTTGCCAAAAACGACCTTATTTAAAGGACTAATAACTAATAACCAGAAGGTAATGGATAGCGATTTCATTTTTGTTTATCACTTTCAACGAGACACCAGTCGTCACTAATCAGGAGCTGAACCAAGCACGATTAAGAAGTAAGGAAAGCGCACTATTACTCAGAATATGGGTTTTACGGTCTCTGACTTTGTATGATTAAATGCAAAATATCTATATTATGCCCTGGAGTGTAACAGTTAATTGTGAAACACGATCTGGTCGCCTTAAATAAAGATATCCCATGTACAGAACTAAACACTGAATAATTCACGGAATAATAATAATAATAATAATAATGGAGACCAACTTATTTAGGCGAATATTGAAAGCAAAGATGAGTTTAGTCTTTTGTTGTACAGTATTTGTCATAATTTCATTTTCATTTTCTGATTAGAAATAAACCTGTCAATTAAAGGTTCATGAATAATTCTCATCCAGATATTAATGAAAAGAACAAAACAGGGAGTTCAACAGAGAGGCTCTTTTTGGCGAATTCATCTTCTTTAAATGTACATTCACATTCACATACAATTGTATCCATGAAAGAGGGTAGTAACAAAAGAGATAAGTTGTCATAATCATAGTTGTTAGTATTAGTCAGTGCATAAGAGTAACTGAATGAGTGAATTGGAGTTATGTAATAGGATGAATAATCCAATCTTAATAAGTATCTCTAATGCACTTAATCAAGTCCTCTTATGGCATTGACAAATATCAACATCTATGCCTGTGACGACTTACTTTGATTACTTCTGCCTTTCGTGAAAAATTTGTGCATAAATGCGATTGTACAGCGAAAGAAAACGAATTCGACAAAAACAACCTGTGTTGCTAAACTACCTGTTTTGTTCAGTTAAAAGTTATCAAAGCGTTTTGCAGGACAGAGTACACTGTGGTCAATAAAAGTAATTATTTAAATAATTAGGTTAACCCCAAAGAGAAGAACAAAACTTTGTTCTATGCAGTTAATTACTTACTTACTTGACTACACATATTCCGTCCAAGACAGTTTACAGGTATATTCTTTGAAATATATAAGAAAACCTGATATTAGTTCTCTTCAAACACACACCTCTACCGACCAGAAAATCCATGAAATTCAAATGAAACTAGGTTGGCATTTCGTTTTAGTTAGAGAATTCTAATATCGTTGATCAATGAACACATAGGTGATTATCAGATTGCGAAGAAGGTTTGTTACTAGTGTTCCTTTTGGGTAGGATTAACTATTTTATGTCTTCAAAATCATTCCAATTCTGACACCCAACCTCATTAAAGTCAATTTTCATTACTTCATGTCACAATTATATGACTGGTAATTCCATTTAGATAAGTTGATTTGATATAAATAATGCAAAATGGACTCACACAAAAAACTTGGAGGATCTAGACTTCGCCGATGATATATGTCTGATTTCCCACAAACTGGAAGATATGCAAGCGAAAAGCAACAAGTTGGCAGAAGAAGCATCAAAGATAGGACTTAAGGTGAACATAGAGAAAACAGAGGTGATGAAGATTCCTGGACAAGAATAACAACAACAGACAACGATCAGCATAAATGGGAGGAACCTGAAAGAAACAACCTCCTTTACCTACCTACCTGGAAAGCATTGTTTCAACTACAGGCAGACGGAACTGACGAAGATATCAAAGCAAGAATCGGAAAAGCAAGACAAGCTTTCACTACTCTCAAGTCTGTGTGGAGGTCAACAACACTCAGCATCAAAAATAAGATCCGGATTTTCAACTCCAATGTGAAGTCAGCCAGTGCTACTATATGGGTCAGAGACTTGCACTGCGCGTCATAAATAGCATCTCAAACAAACTACAGACCTTCATTAACAGTTGTCTTTGCTCAATACCGCTCAAGATCAGATGGCCGGCCAGATAAGATCAGCAACAGAGATCTCTGACAATGAGCGAACCAACCCAGCAGGAACCGATTGTGAAACAAATAGGCAGGAAGAAATGGAGATGGATTGGCCATACTCTTAGGAAACCATCAAGTGACATCACTAGACAAGCCATTGCTCCAGTGAAACCCGAAAGGGAAGCGGCGAGTCGGTCGTCATTGCAAGGGTGACTTGGAGGAGGTCATGTGAAGAGGAGATGAAAACGTGTGGGCCGAATTGGAGCCAGGTGAAGACTCCAGCAGAGAACCGAACTCAATGGAGACGCACGGCTGAAGCCCTATGTTGCTCTAGGAATTAAAGGAAACAATAATAATGCATATTTGATTTATATAAATGTAAATATTTGGTGTGCGTTGGTGGTTCAGTTGTAGAACTCTCGCCAACCATCTACATCGTCCAGGGATCGAATCCCGGACGACTTACTCCTAAACCTCACTTAGCCGGTAATCAGGTTGGTAAATAGGGAAGGTTGGACGTGATGCCAGCAACCCTATCCTATAAAAATAAACACCACTGCTACCGAAACTTCAAAAGTCTAACTTGAAGCCCTATGTTCCACTGGGAACTTAAAAGAATAAAATAAAATAAAAATTTGGTACTAATGGCTGTCTAACAGTTCAAGCA